TTAGAAAGCTAGTTAATTAGATAGAAAATAACTTAGTGTGAGTGTGATTGTGGCTGTATGAACGTAGACTTTTGAACTGAAAGACTGTCACCATGGAGGAAAGTGAAATCATTTGTATCCTATTAGTTGTCAACTGCGGTTTTTTGCTTAAGCGAAATCAGATATATCTTTACGTAACCTAATCTCCCGCCACGCCCTTTATACACCTTAGAGAATCAGTATATGAACCTTGAAGTTGAATAAACCAATACAAACTTCTTTTCATCATAAAAGAGTTACCCGGCCCGGCATGGCCAGATGGTTAAGGCGCTCGATTCGCAATCTGAGGGTCGCGAGTTCGAATCCCCGTCCAACAAAACATACTCGTCCTTTCAGCCGTGGGAGCGTTATAATGTGACGGTAAAAGAGTAGCCCAAGAGTTGGCGGAGAGTGGTGATGACTAGCTGCCTTCCCTCTAACTTTACGCTGCTAAATTAGGGACGGCTAGCGCAGATAGCCCTCGTGTAGCTTTGCGCGAAATTCAAAAAACAAACAAACAAGCAAAAGAGTTTGTATTTCCCCAAAAGTCTACGAGATGTAAACTTTATGAATTGTTCCTTCAACGTTTTCATGTATGAAAAAAAAACGTTGAACTGTGCAGTCTTAGCAATGTACTATAACGTTTACAAAACTTATGTCATCTACTTGATATTTCTTGAACTGTAAACAGGGGATATCGAAGCCAGCTTTAGAGGTATTGAACAATAAATGTTTCAACAAATTTGTAAGTAAAACTTTCCTCACCTACGAAGAAGCCCCCCCCCCCACAGTGGATGAGTAGTAAGTTTGAAGTCTTATAACGCTAAAACCTCTATTGTATTGTAGCTTTAGACATAGCAACAAACTAGAAGAAAAGCAAATCAGAACGATTATATTAAATTTCATTCTCCAGTTAAAATAAGTTATGTGTTTACGTAATCCTGAAATATTTCATTCAACTATATTTGTTTGAAAATTAAATCGTCTGTAACCCAAAGAACAACAATTTATCAAATATCCATTCATGTGTGAGAGTTTCCTTACCTGCAAACACATGTATTGATTACAAACTAAAATGTAGTCAAAACACGCAGTCATATCTAAAGAGTTAATTTGATTCAAGTCAATCCTAGGTCTACTAGGACTAATTATCCTAAAGTAACTCGTATGGCAACTACCAAGCAAATTCCACTGAGTAGCAGTTATCAACTATTAGTTAGAACGAAATAAATATAAAAATGTAAAAATTAATAAGCCTATTTGCCTTTAAACACAGACTTTAATGGTGTATTTGTTCCATAAGGGGAGATGAAATCTGATTTAGTTGTTTGAGCAGTATCAATTATATAACATAATTTCTAACTTATAACCATTCAGGAGCTTCTCTACTTCTCTTGTTTTAAATCTTATGTTTTAATATAAAAATACAATGAATCAAAAGGGCCGAAGTTCAGGCTGCGATATGCTGCTAAACAAGCTACGTACTTAACAACTGTTAGGCATTAAAGCCATGAAACTCAATCCCTCAATTTGGTTAAGAGTGACTATGCTGCAGGCAAATGGTGGTCAGCAACTCTGAATTAGGGATAGCTATGACTGAAACTTGGAATCTCTGACCTGACCCTTTAAGCCATGTATGTTAAGAAGGTGCCGTTTAGGATGAAAATGCCAAATATATTTTATACAAGTTCATGCTAATAACTAACATATTCTAATCATTTAAACTCCAATTATTCCTCAAGTAGTTATTATCAATCATCATCATTTTAATGCATACAGAGAAGTAAAAAGAATGCTCTATAGAGAAGAAACGTTTTTGTTTTTTTATTATGCAGTTTTTAGCGATTTCTTCAATTTTATCAAATGATAAAAAATTTAACGCACTACGAGATTATTCTAACATTAAAACATGGTCCTTTTACGATGAAATATACAATACATTTCATAACTTATAATCTGAATTTTGAGAAGCGTTATGCAGTGCACAATACATCTTTTACAGTGAAAGGTGTACAAGTTGTTATGGGTATTAGTGGAATGCATGCTGCTAAAAGAACCGTTCCTTGTAACAAAATAGATTTCTGTTACTAAATCATGACCAGTGTTTTTACATAAAGTTTTGGGGATGAAGAAAACACAAGTCATCTCATAAAGAACCAGAATTAGAATGTAATTTTCAACCGAAAAGTAATTCAGGCTTAATAAATTGTGGTAAGTTGATTGTGCTATATACAACTTTAGATGCAATTAATTTTACCCAAATTATTAGATATAACTGCAATTAGAACATATAACAGTTTTTATTTAAAAACTGCAATCTCATTAGAAAGACGATAGTACAAGATTTAACATGCAGTTTCCTCTAAAGTAATGAAATTATTCAAACTAAAAAAGCTCATAAAAATAAGTTTTCAATTTGATTTAGTTTTTATTCGAAATGCTGTTAAAATAAAGAACTCGTCGTTATTTATACGATTTTGATAAAGAAAGTTTAATGTACAGTATGTGTTTTTTATTTTTTCGCGTTATTAAACCCTTACGATTAAAAACGTTTCCGTTTTGTCTCATTAATTTTATTAAACAGTTGTGCTTTAAGACAGTTTTTTGCTCCTGGTTAGCAAATTTATTCAACATTACAGAAAAGTACTTATCTGATAATTAGCAGATTCAAGTACGTTTGCTGAAAATGTTTTCTTAACTTGATTCTCTACGTTCACTAGAGTAAATTCGACTATAATTATCCTTAAGGATAAGTAGAGTTCAAAATTGACTTTAAAGTTTTATTTTGGAAAATCTTAGGGGAAAAGCACAAACACAACACACTATATGGATTTTAACAATGACATTAAAAAAACTGATTGTAGACTAAAGTTATTAATTTTACTTTAACTTTTAAGATCACCTATATAGTATTGATATTTTTCTACATCGAATTAAACAGGATAAGGCCAAAGACTGGAGAAAAATGCGGATTAACGGATTCTTAATGCCTAAAACTTACAATTCGTGTCGTTGATATTTGTATTTTCAAAGGTAGTATTATTATAATTTCTATGAACTTCATTATTTTCTTTCTTTGTAAAGAAATGATAAAAAACAAGTAAGTTTATGCTTGCAATTCTAAATTATTTTAATTAAAAATCATATTGTATATTCAATATTTTTCTGATTTGAAAATTATATTAATATCTAGAAAAACATGGAAACTGTTTAATTAAATAGCAGTTTCCTACCTTAATTAAATAGCGGTTGGATTACATAGTCATATACACCAATAACACATTCTCGTACGGTTATAAAGTAATATCTTCTACTATGTGACGTGTAGTTATTTGTCACATAAAAAGAAGTGCAGCGAAATGCATTGTATAACGAGTTCCCATTCCTTAACACTGGATATCCTTTTGGCGTATGTGCTGTTGTTCTATTGTTTCTGCTGTCTACTAGTAGGGAAATACTTTTTTTATTTGAAATACTATGACCAACACTTTTATTAAAGTATTTGAATTTCAGTTGAATGATAGTCGTTTTCTTAGTGCACGAACGCTACGGTATTATTTGATTCAAGTTTATTCCCCAGGTGATGGCACTAAAGCATTACCAGAGAAGTCATGGTTCAAGCGCTACGTTATAACCTTAGTTTCGAAGGCAGAAGTTTCTCAAAGATGAAATGCTGTTTATTTCCTTGCTTTCATCAAACTTTTCATGAAATCACCAACCAGTTACTAGCCTTTTCTATAAACAAGCTCGACGATAGCAACCAAACTTTATTTGTGATCAATATATGTACATTTCACATGTTAAACTTATATTTTTGTCACGCAAACATGAAGTAACCGAAAAACTGTATTATCACAAGTAAAGCAGTATTCTTCACTGGTGAACGAACGAACTTTATATCTAGTCGTATATGACTGTAGGCCTTTAAAAGCAGCCATATGTATGGTATATATCAATATAGAATGCAATTATTTTCCTCCAATTATTTTAAGTTACATATTTTAAATTTATGTAGTTGTTCTTTTAGAAGAGTAATACCTTGTTCAATCTTAATAAAAAATATACATGTAAAAAATTGTGTATATTCAATATATCATCCTACTTATATAGAAGTAAACAACCTGATATTAGCAGAAAGAAAGAAGACCACCACCTATGAAACGATAAAAAAGGCAGACACCTACATGTAGGAGTCAGATGTTGATACAAGCACGGGAGAAACTGAAAGTGTTCAAGTGTTATAATAAGAGTGATTCACTTATAATTCATGTTGGTCGCAAGATTTAACTAAATAATTGCTACAAAAAAAAGGATATTCACTTATAATTCATGTTGGTCGCAAGATTTAACTAAATAATTGCTACAAAAAAAGGATATTCACTTATAATTCATGTTGGTCGCAAGATTTAACTAAATAATTGCTACAAAAAAAAGGATATTTCTTTCGATGTCTCGCTCTAATTCAGATATTGTAATATCAGAAACAGTTATTTTTATGAAATGACGAATTTTGGTTTAAAATGAATTTGCATAGTTTTGGTTTTTAACTAGCCTTAATTAAATTTGTAGTGAGATCCTGGATTATCAATGTTTTGTGATTGATTAATTTATCACATCTTGACTAATAAAATAATAACAAGTGGTATAAAGTATTATAGATTGGGAATTTTTTTATAGATTTTCCGAGTGTTACCTTTGGTTACCTTTACACAAACGAAATATTTTATTTGCGATCCTTTTTTTATTAAGTTGTTTTTAATATCAAAAGACTGAAGTAATAAAAGCTTTTTCTATGTTTTGATCAGTATGTGAATTTAACAGCATTCTATTTAACCTACAATACCTGCGCTTGTGGCGCTCTTTTGAATAAGAGATTGTGTACAAATAAAAAATAAAATCAAACGCCAAGTTAGTGTGCAAAAAAACAACAACAATAATACAAATACGTTTAATATAAACTTTTGATAGCCAATCTGACTTACCCATCTAACTGGAAAGATCCGAGCTGAAAAGAAAGAAAAGAAATTTCTACGATGTCTCCAAACTCTCCCCCTTCTGCTACAAATGTAATTGTGCACACGTACGGAAATGATTGTTGGAAAGGTTTTGTGATTCGCAATGGAAACTTTGTGCCGACATGCCCATAGTAAGTCCTGTTGCAGTCTGAAAATATATTAAAATTTAAATAATTATTTTTATTTTCCCATAAGGCAAAGATAACGTATAAATAATGTACCCAAGCTGTAATTAAATGTATTAAACAAAACCTGGGTTAAAAAAATTCAGAATGTATTAGCAACAGATTTCTAGACTAATAAATGTTCTACTAAATAAAACACTTCTTTATCAAGTCATACTAATCAAACGACGAATGTTGAAAGGATTAGATTAACCTTTAAGTGTGCAAGCACTAAAAACCATAAACATAACCTGAACGTTTTAAAATTATAACGATGTTACAAAACATAAAATACAAAAACCCTGAATCTTATTATAATAGTTACGAAGACAACAAAACTCGTGCTTCGCATGTGAAACATTTTTTTTTTTTGAATAGTATTTGTATTTGAATACACAAAGTTTATAAAATATAAAGTTAGTGCTGTATTTTTAAAACAATCAAAACTATTAAGTGGGCTTGTCTAGACTATTCGCGTGTGAGATTAGATAGATGAAAATCTGATGGCCATACGGGGCGTCTCAAAGACTGCAAGGTTAAATCTATTTCACAAAACGTGATACCACCAAGTATCTCCACTACTTTGAAATGTCTTATTTTGAAATATTTTGTACATAATTCTAGAAGCAATTACACCCATTTAAAATTCAACATTTTTTTTAAAGTGGAGTTGTTGCTTTAACTTAGCTTTTGACTTTGTCATAAAGAAAAAAAAACGAATTGCTTTAAACGTCTTTCGAAGAGAAATCCATATATATATATATTATTAATTTTTACATAGTGATTGCTATCTTTCTTAAACAACTATATCACATTGCATAATTATTGTATTTCGACAGACGAGATTACTCGGTTGGAAAATTATAAATAATAACAAATAACAGCCAAATTCATAAACTGATTATTCACTGTAATCGCATTAGTCCTCAAGATAATTAAAATAAACCTAGTCCTTCAAAGCTGTCCCCCCAGTGGCACAGCGGTATGTCTGCAGACTTACAACGCTAGAATCCGGGTTTCGATACCCGTGATGGGCAGAGCACGGATAGCCATCTGTGCTTAATTATAAACTTTCAAAGCTTTTTTTTTAGACTTATCAGACTATTATTTTTCTCATTACTTAAGTAGCGCCCAATTTATCTAAACAGTCTCGTTAACAATACATAACAATTAAATAATAATTGTTAATAATGCGTTAATAATTATCCCGTTAAAAAACAAAAAAACATATTTAATCGATGAAATATACACATATATACTGACTTGTACATCCTGCAGGCTCATCACTTCCATCGCCGCAATCATCTGTTCCGTCACAGAAACGGCTAGGTGGAATACAGTTCCCGTTGTTACAGTAGTATTCTGTCAGTCTGCACCCTCTGGTGACTGGAATCACAACTAAGCCGAAGCACGTTAAGATCAACACATTCTTGAGTTTAAGTGCTGCTTTGTATATGCAACTCTTCATTGTGAAGTCACGAAAGAAATGTTGAAAATGATGTTGTGGTATTAAGGTGGTTTATCATAGCGTTTGAGTGGCTTCAATTTTACCTTCCGTTGTTTCACATGATTGTTTTGTCCAGTCTAAATAAAGAAATATCATGTTGATTTTCTTAAACAGTTTTAATTTCAACTCCTTTACAAAATCAAACAATAGCCCCTCTCATTCCGACAAAATAGGCTAAAACACAAAGTCTGCTTGTCTTAGTAATTTAGTCGTAAAATCAACGGTAATATCGACTAGAGTTTTTAGTACTTTGATTTTGCTCATGTTATATACATCTATGATGTCCAGCTTTTTTAACTCTACCACCTTATGGCTGCTTAAAACAAACACACACACGCCTCTGTTTATTTTAAATATCTATATCTACGTACATCCCTTTTTAAATATTTTACCCCCCCCCCCTATATAATCAATCGTAGTAAAGCATTCTCAATTTTTATAATAATATTTGTGTCGTGACTAGTAATTTTGATACGCCATAATGACGTATCGTATAATTATTTAGGTGGTTAAACTAAAAGAAATATTATTTCAATTAATGTCTTAATATTAACGTAGTAATCTAATGTTTTGATGGGTAGTTCTAAATAGTGTACGTATGTTTTCGTAAGTAAAGACTTAAACGCTTTAAATGAACATATAATTATGGCGCAGAATTAAATATAAAAAGTAAAAATTTATATTTTTGATTGAAACCAATATAAATCGTCTAGATCTGAAAAACCCAATCTTTTGTTAATTACACAATTGAAATGTTTGTTTCTTCAATATGGCTATTCCTCTCAACTTGCCATAACGGAGAGAAATAAATACGATCCGAAAAATAAGTGTTAGAAATTTTTATTAATAGGTTCTTTTAAGACATCACAATAGACAATTATTATAATAGTTTTATTTTTGAGTTCGAAATCTTTCAGAGATCTTCGTTTTAATGCAGTATACGATTATCAATGTTCCATCAAAACTCAAACTGACCAACTGTTTTCGGGTCGTATATAACAGGCCAGGATTTACTCTAATACCTTTCAAATGTATATATTATATTTCTATAATTTAACTATTAGACTATGTTGTGATAATTTGAGGCCATTTTAGATAAGACAGTAATATTTGTGTGTATGTGTTTTTTACAAACTAATATTATTTCGTCTTTACTTTTAAGCGAAACGCATTTAGAGGTATCAGATATTGAAAAGATTTGGTCGTTTCGTGTTACCACTTGTTGTTTTGAAAAATAATAAAATGGCGTAAAATTTTCCTTTGGCTGTTTTAGTACCCATGGCAACAAGTCATGTAAAACACCACTAGCGTGACGTAAGCTATTGACGTCTCCAAATTTTAAACCACGCAATTGCAGAAACTCTCCTAGTATCACAAATTAAACGAATCACTGGTGTATGAATGATTCACGCAAAACATTGTTTGTGGGATTTCAATATAATTGTAATGTAAATGTTCAAAACAAGTATCTCAAATTATTAGCATGGCGACAAAGTACAGTTTCGATTTTGAGATTTTATTATACCATAAAAAAACGTGGAATTGTGAGAACTTCAATTATATTTAGTTAGTTTTCACCATTTTCGTCCCTAAAACTGACAAATCTATAGTGATGGCACTATATCATTAGGATTTTAAGAAAAAAGTCCACGAAGGCCTATTTTACGCAAGCTTCTTCACTTTATACTTAACTATATTATATTTGATAAATATTAATGTGTTCTATGTCTAAGTTCACCTTGATTGTGGCTAAATTGTTTCACATTTAATTCATCATCTCTCTAGTGTATAGAAATTATATTTAAATTCAGCTACAAAAATAACTTAAAATTTCTGTGTAAACACAATAAAAAACTACCTAACATAACTTTGTGTATTAGAATGCCTAATTTTACTGAATAACGATCATAAGGAAATTATTTTCTTCTACGACTGGATAAAGTTATAACTGTTTGGTTTTATGTCATATTACTAAGGTTCTATATTTAATTGTTAGATTCTACTCTATTTTCTTACGCTGAACAACAAATTAAGTACCAAATTAACATCATAAAACAATAGAATTAATCTTATAAAAACAACATCGTGATGGATAAAAAGAGAATGAAAAGCTTTATGCTTCTATGTCACATTTCAGCATAGTAAAAAATAACAAAGGTTCTCAATTAGTTTGGTGGAAGCTGTGTCTATTTATAACCTATTCATATTCAAGATGAAAGATGTTTTAATTAAGTTACCTCTTGAAATTATAATTTCAAGATTTTTCTTGTAAGTATGCCTCAGCTATTGAAAAGTGTTATCAACGTTAACACTTATTTTCATTTCTTGTTTTATATAACAACTATACAAGATTAGCGATGATATTTTGGAACTGACGGTACCTTCCATCCTATCGGTATTCAAGGAACAATAAAAAATAACGTTTTCAAGCTTTAAATAATAAACCTTATAAATTAGTTTCAATGTTGTTTTTAAAGGCATCCAATTACAATTTATTTGTAAAAAAAAAAAGGAGTACGTAAGAAAATGTGAGAAAGGAGACAAACATTTCCTCTGATAAACACCAGAATGCATGAACAAAGAACAAACTTAAAGCATTTTACAAGATCTTCCTTTAGTATATAATCTTTGTTTCTTTGTTATAATGTTTAATTAAAATTGAAACATCTTCCATGGAAGATTTACACACTGTTTAATCTATCAAATGGGTTACTTTAATGAGATACTATAACAGATAAATTGATCTATTATATAATTAGTTTTTTTTAACACCTACTACACGAGCCACCCCAGCATTTAGTACTGAGCCTAGGATGGTCAAAAGAGGTCATTCCGGAAACCGGTGATTTAGGGTTAGTTCGATAGATCTCGATGAATGAAGTTCGGCACAACTTCTAAAACGAAAAAAAAAGCTAAATATTATTGGAAATATGACATTATGAAATCTATATAGATTATACTATTGTGGTACTATACTAGGTATTAATACCACCCTTCTTATATTTCCTCTTCATTGTAGAAATGGCATTTTTAATTTCAGAATCACTAGGGACATCATCTTGTAATGCATCGTGCATCTGCTTCAACTTCAACACTGCATCTCTGCAATTAGTTTTACAAAATACTGAAACTTAAGATTTCTTATATATGATTCCAATTCCACTTTTTGAAGCTAAAGATACTATTATGCCCGTTGTTTTATGTTTCGCTATCAATACAGTAATCAATTGATGAATCTCCGATTTAGTTGGTATGTCAAATCGATTAAGATATCTTCGAATAAGTTCTTCTTCTTCATCCGACCTGGACTCACGGTTTAGATTAATCGCAACACTTAAATCATCATATTCACAACCACATCTAGAACACTTCAAGCATGTTTCATTACTACATCGTTTTACTTTATATGTTGGCTCTCGTGGTCTCGAGTCAGGTCACGGGTCAGGCCCAGCGATCTAGACCTCAAAAATTGTGTCAAACGTCTTGTTTTTATCTATTAATAACAACCCAAACCTTTCCGGAATAACTCATTTTTTTGGATCCACGTAAAGATGTCGTTCTGGTTCGTGTGTTAAAATGTTACTTAATTAACAAAAAGAATTCATCTCTAAAGATTCAAAATTTTTAGTTAAACACAAACAAAAAGAACCTGACATAACTTTGTGTATTAGAATGCCTAATTTAACTGAATAACAATCATAAGGAGATTCTTTTCTTTTTCAAGTAGAGAAAGTTGCATCTGAATGTAAAACTATATAACAGAACTATTTGTGACAACAAATACGCTGTAAATAAACAAAAGTGCAAATGCTATGCACATGCATTATCTTTCATTTATTATAATTAAAACCCATCAGCCATATATTTGCCCAACTCACTAAATGATCTAAAGCCTTTTGTAAATCAGCGGCATCCTCTTCACAGCTAGCAACACCCAAGACCTGTTGCATTTATGTTTTTGTTTCTAACAATAGCAACAACTTATTAGGAATACACTATTATACTTTGCTGCGAGAGTTTATACACGAATGTCAGTTATACTCTCTGTACAGAGATCATTATGCAGAGCCCCATTATTCTACTGATTTTTCTTGTAAGACGTTCTAAGAATGGTTATGGTACTTTATATAAATCTATAACTCATAGCATATTGCTTACAAAAACTGTTTCAGCCTGAGTGTCATACTTTTAAACCTCTGCCTAAAAATAAGCAATAAGTATTTTGAACTGTTTAAACAGTTTGAAAAATAAAAAAAACACTTCACTCTTGGGATTGAGTATTATGAGCCACTGAATCAATTCCTTTGTAAACCAAAGTTATAGAAATCAAGTAATTTGAACCATGTAAGTAGTTTCTTAAGAAGAGTGTTGCTAGGGGCTCACTATTTTTTATTTTTATCAAACTTGTTTGTTTGTTTGTTGAATTTTGCGCAAAACACTCGAGGACTATCTGCTCTATCTGTCCCTAATTCTGCAGTGATAGCCTAGAGGGAAGGCAACCAGTCAACACCAACCACTGCCAATTGTCTTACTATTCTTTATCAACAAATGGTATGATTGACTGTTACATAATAACGCCCCTAAGACTGAAAGGGCGAGCATGATTACAAGTCGAGCGCCCTAACCTAATATACTGAACTATTTAAAAAAGTAGATCTTAAGTATGGAGAATCATTTATGTGTTATAATATGAATACCACACTGTAACGTAAATTCTTTGAACATCTGAAAATACTTTTGTAATGAGAGTAAATACAGGGAATTGCATGTTTTTTTTAAATATTAATACGGATATGGCAGATGCGGAGTGGTTAGAATACTATTTTCATGCCCTCCAGTGGCACAGCGGTATGTCTGCGGACTTACAACACTAGAAACCGGGTTTCGATACCCGTGGTGGGTAGAGCACAGATAGCCTATCGTGTAGCTTTGTGCTTAACTACAAACAAACTATTTTCATACATTCTTCTAATTCATGAAAATCCTTAAGGGAATAGATAAAGAATGCATTGTTGAAAATATAATAGGCCTAATACTAATGTCTTGTGACGAGGATAATTTCTTGTTAAGAATAAGTGTAGAGACCTAAGTATTTAAGCATCCTCAATAGTTTTATTATAATAATAAGTACTGAAACTATGTATTTTGAATTATTTCCCAACTTATTAATAAGACAAAGTAATGTAATCTTAGAACTTAGAATCACTTAAGCACTTTATTAAGTGCTTGGAACTAAGTATTTTGAACATATCAAAACCCACTTAATAAGTATGATTAAAACTTACATGGTTGATATTTGGCAATAATAGCACTTAAATAAGATAACCATGTGATTCAAAAATTGAATGAGTACCTTTCTAATATAATTATGTATTTTAAGATAATTGCGATAACGCGATTAGTAAGAGTTACAATATTTTATGGATTGCTCCTGTCTTGGCTGTTAAAACAAAAAATACTACTGTCAGCTAGTTTGAAAATTATGATAGTCACAACATGCTCACGAAGATAAACATCATAAACTCTCAACATGTTTCCGTATCTCTACTTGTTAACACTATGATGAAATTCATACCATATGTCTGTACGTATATGTAAAATACACAAGAGAAACTAAACTTTTATGTACGAAGTTGGTAAGAATGCTACACTATGATCTTAACAGCTCCATACACGTTCCCAAGTGCCACAAGTTAATCATGAAACTGAAAAGTCAGTTCTTCGACAAAATTCCAGATTTGGAAATACTTATGTTGTTGTTTTTTTCCAGAAGGTAAACTAATTATACTACGTACGTAAATTACAAAACCTTTAAGAGAAGTTTTGTACCTTTACAAACGCCCTCTATAAAACAATAGTTTGACAATGCTAACAAAATTTCAGAAAACAAAACAAATTCAGAGTGATTTAATTCTATTTAGTTTAACTAATTCTGCAGGAGCCACTTTGGGGAAGAAAAAATATATAGTAGTTGAATAAAAATCATAAAATTGTCTTTATTTTTATAATAATGCTCTTAATGTTTTTTTTTTGATAAAGCTACAGCTGGGACATTTGTTTGCAGGTGCAGGTAATAAATTTATTAAAACACAGGTAATCACCTGAGATTTACTTTGTACAGACAGTGAGCTACACTTTTAAAACAGGAATAGTTGTTTCCACTTGTATGTAGTTCCTCTAAAAGATCATTTAAATCTCGGATTCAATCTCATATACACATATTTAACTTCACAGAAATGTGAATCATTTTCACGAAACTTACTTCAAGAAATCAGGATCAAAACCTTCGCGTTCATAAAAGGGGAGTATATCCTACATAGATAGGTTGCCTTCATAATTAACCTCAACAGAATTTTTAGATTCTAAATTTCCTGTTTGTTTTATCGAGCATGGGTTTGGACACTGCAATTTTGTAAACGAGGAATCTGGAAAGAAAAAAAGGCAATTATAGTGGAAAATTTAGTCAAACAAATCCTGTAACACAAATAACTAAAATACACGTCAGTTTCTACAGTTATATAGCCGTCAAGTGTCTTTTTATTGCACAGGTTAGAAGAAGTATAATTATCTCAGAAGTGAAAGTCCATAGTTGATGGTATTGATTATATCATTAAGCTTGGTAATAAACAAAAAAAGACACGAAACTACTTAGAGGCGGTACAAAAAAAAATTGGTCTGAACGTAGGCCAATACAAAGACAAATAATACGTTCTACTTTCCTCTACAATCAATCAATATTAATTCAAGCTCAATTAACACTACAGTACTAATATATTTAAACATCTGAACTCTACTTGAATAAAACCGTTCTTACGTCCTCCAAGCTATTAACGATTTTGAATCATATTTTTAGAAGCTGCATTAGTTGTTGGCTCACTCGTACTACTTAAAACTTATGTGAGGATTGTATGACCACGGAATGATTCAATGCATGTACTTTATATTTAGCAGTTATATGATTTCTTGAACTTTCAATATTTATATCGTAGCTTAATAATAACACATATGTGTTGTGTGTTGTTTTTTCATAAATACCTAACTGTGTTATATTCTCGCTGCGTTTAACATATGAGCAAAGCATATTTATCAACTTTATATTTGTATAAAAAAATACTTTAGTGGCTATTCGGAAAGCTTCTTAGTTCTTTAGAACTTCGCACATATACAAGTGTATGAACAGAAAATGAAAATTTTCACTCAGAAAATGTCAATATATCGACAGTAGTACGATCATAAAACACCATGCACTTTAGACTAAAATGAAATAAAAAGCGTTTAGTTTTAGATTTTTCTGTAGTAATATAAATCAAGATATGAACTTTGAGGTCTAAGTAAGGTTTTTACTTCCAAAGATTAAACAGAAACTTTGAATTTGATACCAACATTGGATCATAATTAAACGTAACACGTAAGCTAAGGAAAGTATGTCAAATATACTCGTACAGTGGATAGATATATATTCAGCTGATTATATTCACAGTTAATAGTATTTTTGTCCATGATTTCAATAACTGCTTATGAGGTTAGATGACTTAGGCATAAAGAAAACTTCTTAAGATGAATTTCTTACTACTATTATATGAACATAATTTTAGACACATGCAGCCCACCAATATATGAAACACGACATTTTCAGTTCGTTACCGGGTAATTTCAACAATGCAACTCTCAAGCTATTTAAGTTAACGGCGTAAAGGAAACGTTCTTACACCGGTCCTGTGGTTTTTTTCTTTTTTTTCGGGAGAGTTATACAGTTGTTACGATGAAGATACTTTTTAACTTGTTTAACAATAATATATGTTACTCTTATAGTAAAAAAAGTGTGGTTAAGAAACAAGCGATTAACTTCTAATATAAATTTTGGAATCTGAATCTTCTTAAATGTCATTCAAAGTTTTTATTTGAATAATATTAGAGAATTGATTCACAATTATGAGTAGTTCTATTGCATAATATTATATTATTATACTCCAGATGTCAGTTAAGTTAAACTCAATAACTTCTTCATGGAAAAATCCTTATATATACTCCTAATGTCCAAGATCTGCTTTTCACGCTTGAATTACAAAAGTTAGTTTGTTTGTTTTGTTGCTAAGCAAAAAACTACACAATAGTCTATCTGTGCCCTGCCCACCGAGGCTATCGCAATCTGCGGGTCGCGGGTTCGAATCCCCGTCACACCAAACATGCTCGCCCTTTCAGCCGTGGGGGGGGTTATAATGTGACGGTCAATCTCACTATTCGTTGGTAAAAGAGTAGCTCAAGAGTTGGCGATGGTTGTTGATGACTAACTGGCTTCCTTCTAGTCTTACACTGCTAAATTAGGGACGGCTAGCGTAGATAGACCTCGTGTAGCTTTGCGCGAAATTCATAACAAACAAACAAACCTCAGATGTACAGCTGAGTCACTGGGGGATACAAAAGTTAGTAGTTATTCAGTAGAAAATCTTCTACCCAATTTAAGATTTAATCAAAATCCTAGTTACAACCAATAAAAATTCATTTAAGGTTTAGATGTTGTTAGTACGGATAGTTGAATAAATGCTTGCTTGCTTCTTGTTAAGGATGAAACTACCTGCTCTGCCCACCACATACTGCATTTGCCAAAAGTGCGCCGTTCTTTTTTTACTTTTTGTTTCTGTTTAAATATTTTAAATTTCAAAAGTTAAATTAAGTTAAGCTGAAAATAATCAAAATAGTTTTAGAAAAATAGGAAGTTAACTCAATAATATTAGCGCGATAAATAAAAACTACCCAAAGGAGATATATACATTGCAACGGTTAATTTTTTAAGTCCATACGTTTTATCACTTAGGCATCCTGAATAGGATAGCAATAGCATGATATTCTGTCTTACTTAAATAAGGAACCGATATCAATTTTAAAAGCTCGAGTTAAACGATTCTCTTCGTCGCATGTGACATTTCTTAATGTTTTGCTAATATACTGTATTTTCATTATTATTATTATTATTAAAATAACATTGTACATCTTTCACGTAATAGTTTACATTTACTGCCCTTTCCAAAGATATTTTCCTCACTACGTGAAAAGTGTATGAATAATTATTATTCAACTTTTATTAGTCTTCATTGTGTTGAAAACAGAAATAAAAGTTACAAGAAACTAAATATTGTTTGTAAACCACAACGATAAGTAAATAATTTGTAGTGATTGTTTAACAGTTTTTAATTGATATTGAAAAGGTGGGTTAAAAGGAAAGAATATATTAACAATCTAAATATAAAAAAAAACGTAAAATATGGAAAAAATGAACTGACGCAGTAGTGATGTTATGTTTCTAGTGCATTGTTTCAATTTTTTTTTTATTCTTAGAACACTAGCACGCGGCCGCTCAGACATATTTATCCTAAAAACTTTGAAAGCATAATTCAATTTGTTCGTTTCGTGTTGACTCCCGCCTGTCGCTGCTTGACAATACAAGAAATATAACCATTTTCAATATTTATAATGCTTTATAACTATTTGTGACCATAGTTGGAACAACCTGAGATAACGAACAAAAATTTTTTGACATTTTTCATTGATTTTTATTCATTTTTTTTCTTTGTATGTGTGTGAATCAACAGATATACGTGCTACCCTATATAGTAGCTGTAGCACGCGATGATTCGCAGGCTACCATCTTTGTTACTACCATCATCAGAAATGTTATTACCGAGATCTAGCAGTTATGGTAAAAAAATCCCATTACCTCGTATCTTTCTTGCAAGTTTTTCTTAAATTGAGATTTGTGTCGTTAGCTAATAGCGCTGAATTTGTAGATAGAGCTAGTTTTGATTGGTCTAGGAATAATACTAAAGAGATATACATGATACTTTATAAGAAACGTAATATACAATGGCAAAGTTGAAAATACTAAAACACACATTCCAAAATATTTTTAGTAAGGTTATGTAGAAGAACGCTAGTCTTAATTAATTATGTACTAAAGAAACACATATATAATTTAGAATGAATCACGCTTGTCATGAAGTTTGTATTACAAATATTACTATAGCAGAAGAATACATATTTAAATCTTCATTCTGTAAAATTTTGGGAGAATATATATGTAGATCTTAATGCATCATGTTGTTATAAGTATACTCGGGAAACCTGAAGTTATTTGAAAGTTATGCCACTAAATATATCATAAACAATTTTCTACCTAGACTAGAAAGCACAGGCAACAGAAAATAAAATGTGGGGATAAAGTTACATCTTAATTTAATCTTCGAATTTCACTAAAATCTTATACAGATAAATCATAAAAGAAGTCAGTATTCTCCATATCAAATACCGTAATGATGTTTAGTGCTTGAAATATTAATTGCGTGAATTAACGTTCAACCGTATCTGCCTAATTACGAATAAAAAAATGTATATGATACAATTGAAACGCATACATGAAAACAACCTAATAATAAAGGAACAGTAAAGTTTCAATAAAGCCCTCTTAGAAGGTTGTTGTAGAAAAATTAACGCTCTACTGGTTGATTGGTCTAATAAACTTCCTAAAATTTTACATATGGATTAACCACATAAAACAAGATACAGTTCAGCATGAAGTTGCTTAATGTGTTACGAAATAGCGAGAGCAAGATTAATCGTGTAATTAAATAAACAAAGCATTGTGTCCTCCTACTATTTCGTTAAAGTACTCGAACATTATCATACAAATGAATAAGATAATTTAGTTGTCTATAAGATTAGTGTTTGTCGTCAACAAACGCTAAATGTAGTGGCATTATTTATCCGTGTGTCTTAACTTTCGGAACATTTGAATAAGGAGAAAACAAACAAATATTAGAAATTTCTATATATATTCTCTTAGCTTACTGTGATCAGACTTGAGGAACAAAGTTAGTTTTAACTTATGATAATCAAAAAGTTATTCTGTGGAAATTTTGTTTGCAAACAAAAAATATTCTCCTTATTGATGTTTTTTACACATCTGGTAAACTAACTAACAGGGTAGCACATAAATATTGTCTTTTTAGATATTTTTTTCCCATAAAAGTTTGTTTTCATGAGCATAAAATAAATATCGCTTTGTAATATGTAAAAAACTTGGAAATTTTGCACACAAACAATACTTTAAAGAAAATTTCCCTTACTTGGACAAACTACTAAAAACTGTTTTTAAGAAGAGTATGAATTACATAGAATGAATAATGTAATAAATAAAAATAACGACAAAGCCAATATGAGGTAATAATTGCTGTTAGAAATAAGGTTTGTTACATCCAATTCTAGTTACACTTGAGTTGTTTTAGATATTTTTTTAAAGAGAACGAAATCCAGTTACTGACTATTTCCTGTAAAGTTATTCTGCCTTTCCTCTTGTAGCTGATGGACAGGGTTCGTCTGACGAATATTTTGGACCAAATGTGGTCTATTAACTATCGTCCTATTACCGATA